TGGAAATGTGATAAAAAAGAGGGGGGATTGATAAAACGAATTGAATCGTATAAATTAACGGATAAATTCTTATCCAATATATGATGGATGCATATTTATTTTATATTTACGAGTAATGTTTTTATGTAATAATGCAGGGTGGAATAAATACGTACATGTATAATGAATTAATAATAAAAAATATTACTTCCTCCATTCAGGAGCAACAACACTAATAGCGGCATCTAATGACAAATGGAAGAATTTCTTTGCAGTTTCATCTGTAGCAACAGTTATATTTGTTTTTTCTTTATCTTTAACAACGGTTATATTTGCCTTTTCTTCATCTTTAGCAATGGTTGTATTTGCTTTTTCAGATATTGCGGTAGCATCATTATGATGATCAAGTGTTGACGCTAATGGTTCTAATGATCCAAATCCAGTGAGCCGGAGAGCATTTTGAATATTCTCATTTGCAAGATTGGCGAAATGAAATTCAACATTATGGGCTGCATATTTATTCAACTCTTTTCGAATATCAGTCAGCGCTTGGGCACCTGTCGAATCAATCACATTGACACCTGCAAAGTCGAATATAACAGCACGTAATCTTGGTGCTTTCTCATTTTCGTCATCATTTCCACCTGCATCATTCCATGGTCGATCTCCTTTCTTTTTTGCTCGTTCGAAGAATCGTCGAGTCTGTTTTTTTGCGTACCCGACAATCTGTTCATCAATAAAACTGGCGTTTGGATAAGTAAGTGATTCACCGAGTCGGAATATGAGAACACCTGAAGGTGGATTTGAGGCTGCAGTGAATGATGGGTGATCAAGTGGAACGTAAGCGTATTTTGGTTGATTGTCGCCTCCTAATGGGAATCGTCCTAATGCTTCAATTTGGGGTCGCGCCAATCGGACCAACAAAACTACAAGAGCTAATCCCGTTGATACGTATATTCCAATCTAATGGTTCATAATGATAATAAAATTATTAATGAATAAAATATATATATCATAAATACGAGAATGAATACTTACTTCAATGGTAGTGAAGAAGGTGAAAACTACCCCCACAACAAATACTGCGAAATCCCAGAATTGAATTCTGTATAAACCGATAATGTATCTCCACGGTGACACTAAATCCAATACAGCATGAATAATCACAGCGCTAAATATAGAATTATTTATCGTTATTATTTTTTCATCATTAATCATCATAAGATATTTAGCAGTTACTTACCCAAGCGCAGAATCCGGAATATAGTAGAAAGCGGATGTCAAGAAGAATAAGGCCAAAACGACCAATATGGCGGAGAAAATACCCGCAAGTGGAGTTCGTACACCAGATTTTGATTTAAGAGCTGTGCGTGAGAAAGAACCGGTAGCAGCGTAACCCCCAAGGAATGGTCCGATAATGTTTGTAATTCCAATTGCAATCATCTCTTGACTTGGGTTGATAGTATAATTGTTAATTCGCCCAAAGTTTTTGGATATGGCGACGTGTTCCAAAATCAAGATAATAACAACAATCGGAATATAACTTTTGATGTGACTTATAACTTCACTATTCACAGGTGGAGTTTCAACATGACTAAAACCTTTCGGGACAGTCTTTAAAATAGCGATTGGACTGGTTTTTTTTCCAATATTGACTATGTAGGCGATAACCGTTGCAAGAATTACAACGCCGATGTTTCGGAGAATTGAAATGAAAAAGAAGGTACGTTCATATCTTGGCCATCTTTTTCCACAAAACTGACATGCATATTTGACACCATATAAGAGTATCAATGAAAATATTCCCATTACTGCATCGATTTTAGTTCCGCCGAGTGCTTTAAGAGTTTTACCCAGGACCAGATATCCTGATTCTTTTGAATTAATACCAACTATACCCAACAATTTGCAAACTTGACCAATCGCAATAGTGATAGCTGATCCGGTACTGAAACCAGCAATTACAGGAAAAGGAATGAAATCAACAAGAATTCCAAGACGTAAGAAGCCGAGAATAGCTGAAATAAGACCAGCAATTAAAGATAAAGCAGTTATAATTTCAACATTAGAATACACCGGATGCTTAGGATCCGGATTAGGCCAATCAGCTTGGATTTTCACGATACTTTGACCCAACAATAGTGACATGACAGCTGTCGGTCCAATCGTTATGTCTTTGGATGTAGCAAACAAAGCATAAATGGAGACGCCCACAAAGGACGTATATAGACCATATTCAGGGGTTAATTCAGCAACTTTGGCGTAGGCCATTCCTTGCGGAATTACTACTGCACCAACTGTTAGTCCGGCAATCAAGTCAGAAATAAACCAAATTAGATTATAGCGTAAGATCCAGTCTTGAATCGGAAATAAGGATGTCACATATTTTGCAGCATATTCTGGAAAGTGTTGAGATGATTCATTTACTCTATCCTTAAACGCGGGACGTGGGTTGTTGAACGGATATTCTGTGTCAGCCATTTTTGTTATTTTAGGTAGATTATATTATTGAAATTGTATTTGTATTTGAGGGAGGAGAGACTTATATACAAAACACGAAAAATCCGAATCGATTAAAGATTAAGACGTATAATACACACACCAAAAATAATCTCGTTACTCTTGTATTATTAGTTAGATTATCGAAGGTGTGTGATGAGGAGAAATTTTGTAATTGAGAATCGTTCTTTTTAAATAAAATTCTTTGATCGGCTAAGATGATACAATATAAATCCACATATGGTAATGCCAAACAATACTAATAATTAATAATGATAAATACTTTTTATATGCCAAACTATATACTTTTTTTTTTAACTACACTGCAACATTTGTAAATAATAATGTACTTTTTTATATTCGATCTATTTACGCGTCTTTTATCCTATACATATCACGGCTACACGAATCGATTGCGACATAATTCAGGTAAAAGACGAAAGTACACAAGTTGGTCGATCACTATTATTTGGGATGTTTTGTGGTATACCCTTTTTTGTGAAAATGATATCGATTGGAAGGAACTAGAAAAATGTGATTATCTACTTTTGGTTAAGCGTGTGACCATCTGAAAACGTTATATCGATATTATCGATACGATTCAGTCGCGTTTTTATAGAATATACAATTATACATACTGTATAAATATTTGTTTTGTTCTTACTCTTATTATTAACAAAATTTTCTTTTCTGCTGATCTAGGATTATACATATTAACGTGATCCTTGAGTTAAGGGAACTGGCATGGCATAATTCTGGTCAAAGTTACAAAATTCGGCCAGAATTAAAAAAATTTGGCGTAGTTCATTTAAGATTATCCGGGGTCTTAGTTAATAGGTGCAAAGTTTATTTGCACATAAGCCACCCCTACCATAGTAGACCCCCTTGATTTATAACCGGATAGCTCTATAACACACCAGGTTTCAATAAAAATACCATTATAACCAGTATGTCCAATTGGAGATAATAAGCTGTGTTACATTTTAATTGGACATATAAGATCGATTTCTTAGCAAGAATAGAATCTAAATTATATTATGCGTACAAACACTCACTATGACTCATATCAGCCGATTTGATTTTTTATATTGTTTACAATTTATATATAATTGTGAGATCTGACTGAAGCTGAAATGGACCAATGAAAACAGAAATTAATAAGCTAATGGAGGGCACCGATTTCAGCCGCCACAATTAATTTATTTTGTTTAACCCATTGGTTGGTAATAGATTGTTATCAAACAATATAAAAAAATCAAATTGGCATATGTTGTACTCTCCTAACAAGCTATCTACCATCCGACATAGTGGATACCCTACAATGTACCCTGGAGGGTACAAATCAATTTTCAGTAAGAGAAATGTAACAGACCCCGAATGGTTATGTGAAAAATTACGGCAAGTTTATTATCATAAAATAAAGGGTCGTTGTACTGTGGTGCATAACAGATTATCAATTCAATAACCTCTTTACTAAGAAAATTTATTCCATGAATATGGGCTATTCTATATATTCACGGTTTGATCTAAATAAAGAAGTTTACAGCATTTATAAAATACAGTTGTATTTTTTTTCGGGTTTCCCGGTTTCTCGTAGAAATGATTATCATTTAGAAAGAAATTAATTGGTTAAAAAGTTTTAATAACTTGGAAAAAGAATCCATAACTATTTTAAATATATTTACTTTAAGAGAATTATAATTTATCGTATATGCAATATGTCTCTATGTCCCCCATTTACTAAGAGCGTAGTGTTATGGGCCCAAAAAAGTTTAATGTTGTATTTTTGGTCCCGTTACTATTAAATTTGGGGTCCTACGATACATCGCCATGGCAATAAATTACAAAATCCTTATTTTAAATATGGTATATTGAATTAATCAATCAAATAACTGTGAATTATTTAGAATATATTTTGGACTGTAATGAATTTATGGAATATATTTGATATTCTAATTTATTTTGGAAATATCTCTGTTTGCAAGAAGTGTTTGAACCTAATTTTATTAAAATAAGATTTTGCTGAGACTTTCAGTTTAGGCTACATATTTTATGTGTTTGTATCCGAGTAATATCTGAATATTTGCAGCTGGTGCTAGTGTAGTTACATTTGGCTCTGCTTTAAATTTCAAAAGCAACAATTATTACACAATTAGCAAGAGAATGAATATTAATTATTCGTTAAAAAGCATGCCTGGGATAATTGAAGCACGTATTAATAGTCAAGAGTGACGAAAAAATTGCTTATTAAAGAGGAGTGCATATTAATTTCTTATCCCATCTGGCTTTTCGGTTATATTAAAGGCAATTAAAATATATAATTTAACAATATTCCTCTTTAAATTAAAATACAGTATATGTAAAACTATGTTCAAGTCAAATGAAAATAGATCGGTATTTATATTTTATATATTATTATTCAATTTCGTGAGGTTATAGCATTGATTAATTTTGGGAAACATAGGAAATTAAATGAATGTAAATTGTTTCACCATGACACACTTATAAATCCGTATTCTCGTTCATTCGTTGTATCCACATATAGGCGAACAAAATTTACGCTTCTTATGCATAAGAAATAACAGATTAATTGTTGGACACTTTCGGAATAATTTATCTGATTGTATTACGCGTCATAAAAACAATATTTAGGTGAATTTGTTATGCTTACAAAATTATTTATTACACAATAAAAATCGAAGCGGACAGACATTCATCAAAGCTTATTTAGTGATTCGGTTGATTGAGGGTAACTGAACCAGTTTATCATAGAAATAAATACTTGTTTCTTGATTCTCTACATTAATACGAAACGTCAAATCTAGTATCCAATTTCGTTAAAGGTTTGAAAAGGGTTTCAAATTTGGTAGAATAATAGATATTAAGCTTGAAAAATTCTTTTTTTCTAGTTTACTTTTTAAAATAAAATAATAATGTAACTTGTGTGAGTTATACGTATTGATATGGTGCATTAAACTCTTAAATAGGAAGTGAATCATATTATGGCTACCAAACTTCGAAAATACTACCATAATTGACTCTTAGCGGTCATGCGAGTTAGCGATCCCAATTAATATCTTACTTTAATGACATGATCCTTAAATCCTTAATACCCTAGCCACGGCAAAGTGTTTGTCACGTGATGGTGATCAGATCAACCAATAAGAATGCACAAAAAACCAATAGGAGTGAAGCAAATTTTTGATCAACCCGGAAAACAAATCCGACACAAGAAAATAAAAAAGACAAAAAATGCGAAAAATACAAAAAACAGATATCTAAATCTAGCTTGGCACACTATCAAAAAATGTCGGGAAGACAATTTTATATATAATCTTAATCTCAGCTCTAACCCTACCCTAATACTTGATATCTAATATTTTAATGGATTATCACGTGCCCGACACTTTGCTGTGGCGTGGCTAGGGTATTATTAAATCCCTTTCCATATAAAACCAAACTCAATTTAACGAATCTCTTGAAATGCGACATTTTTCACTATGTCTGTTCCGATCCAGGTTAATACCCTAGCCACGGCAAAAAAGTGTCGGTCACGTGATAATCAAACCAATAAGAATACGCAAAAAATCTGCGCAACAATAGGAATGTAGCAAATTTTTGCTCAACCCGAAAATAAAAAAGACAAAAATGCGAAAAATACAAAAAACAGATATCTAAATCTAGCTTGGCACATTATCAAAAAATCTCGGGAAGACAATTTTATATATAATTTTGATCTCAGCTCTAATCTTAACCCTAACACTTGATATCTAATATTTTAATGAACTTATTTCAGATCACGTGATCGACACTTTTTTGCCGTGACTAAGATATTAGATCCAGGTCTGATTAGTATATACACATGATTTTGCGTTACACACGACTTTATCGATTACACGTTATACTCCCGGGTGTATATATATCAGGGCATGACAAATTTATCGGATTTTTCCGGCAGCATATAAATCTGCCGGGAATTTGATAGGTTAGCCGGAATGATTTTTAAGCCAAAATTTTCAAATTTTCATGCTCTGAGAATATACCCTCTATACAGTCACATTGATATAAATTTTAAACTTCAACTTGAGACACAAAAATGCAATGCTCTATTAGTTACAGTGGGCGCTGGATACAATAACGTGCTTGGGGAGGGGGAGGAGAGATTTGGTGTTATTATATCGAGATGTTACTCTATCGAAAAAATAATACTATGAAGCTTATTACAGTAATGAATTGGGTGGAGAGATTTTGTGTTATTACGTATAACGAGATGTTATCTTAAAGAGTGTTACTGTAACGAGCGCACATGCACACATGTACATAATTTTTTGCCCTCATACATAAACTTTGAACACGCGAACATGGCGAATTAAACTTGTTTTATCCTTTTAAAATTACACATATTGGCAATCATAAAATTAGAAAAACTTTGTTTTCTTTGCAGCATTTGTGTATGTGCACAATGCTTTTATTACACAACAGTCTAATACAGTGAGCGCATATGCACAAATTTTGTATACGTATATAATAACAAAGAATTTATGACATAATATTAAGATGAGTGCCCGCGCACAAACCAAGTGTATCAATCATATTTAAGCTTTATATCACACGGATGCATCCCAATCCAATATAAAATCTCAATATGATTAGTGTACATCTGGGATATTCTCCTGAAAAATTAATGTTAAAGGTTGATTTAAGGTTAGTGCTGAGATAAGATTATATGTAAAATAGTCTCCCTGACATTTTTAATTAGTGCTCCAGGCTAGATTTAAGCACCTGTTTCCTGTATTTTTTCATTTTTATCTTCTTGTGTCGGATTTGTTTTGCCGGGTTGATCACAAAGATGCGCATAACCAAAATGGATCGGGGGTGTACATGCACTCTATCCACACAATTTATAATGATGAAATTATGTACGTAGTGACCTCAAGGCTATTAAACCAGTAACTAAATTTTTAAAAAATCGCAGGGCATCT